CAGCAGTATTTAATGCTGTAAGTTTTCCATCCAAAGTACTTATGAATATAAATCTATGGTGCATAAAATATTTATATTATTATAAATTATGAACACTCTTCATTATTTACTTACTGTTTATTGACTTCATCATTTCCTCGGCAAACTGATTTGTCACAGAGGACAAACACAGTTTGTACTCCAAAAACTATTAAGACTACTTTTAATAAATACTTTATTATAATTAAGTTCATTGTTCACGGAATTCATAAAAAAATTCAAGAGACATACTTAAAATGATTATAAAACTTATTCACATAAACAAATATTATTGATAACAATAATAACAATAATAATGATAATAATAATAATAACAAAACAAGTAGGTAAAAAATATTAAATTTTATCAAGAAAATCACATAATTATAACATATTATTTACAAAATGTAGATAGTGATAATATAACAGATTTATAAACGTACAATCGTCAATCATCGACATAAATAATAATAATATTAAATATACTCTAATACCATGAATAAGGTATGAACAAAATATTATTATTATACCTACTCAATAGTCTATATTATTATAACTTATGAGTTATAAAAACATAATCACAGATATATAATTATACAGATAGTTGTAAATCTGTGTTGATAATAAAGGTGGGTAGATGTTTTTTTGACATTCACTACCACTCTTAAGTATAATTATAGATATTTAATATTTATGGTTTGAACTAATTGAAAATAAATACTTTAAAATGATTTAAAACTAGTACCTACTGGGTGGTTATTAACCTATTTCAGGCCACGAAACGAATTTTGTAGTCAATTACAAAAAAGTAGAACAATTTCAGTTGTCAGTACCTACCTAATATGTTCTTGTGTAGGTACCTTACTACTTCTACGAAAACAATTTGTAGGGGTAATGGGGGTTTAAAAAAAAGTACACAAACATCTTTTAATATTAGGTGTGTGTCAATGTATCATGTATCAATCGAAAATATTCATTCTTATTAGGAAAGGGACGGAAAGTTGTGTTCCTGGAGCTCTTTGAGTATTATCGATTTTGAGGAGGTAGAAGACATGCTGTGCGAATTTCCAAGCTAGGTCCAAGCTAGGCTTGGAAATTCATGTAAGTGGCTTGAGATATTGACAAAAAATTTAATTTGAATAGTATGCTAAATTGTGCTTCAAATTTCCATGAAGCCGGTGAGACGTGAGACTACCTGTTGCATCTAGCCGTTAAAAATATACTCGTGTTTTACGTGTTTTTGATTTTTAGTGGAGGGATTTAGGGATTATCGTGCAAACTTCAAAACTATGCTTAAAAATTCATCATAAATTATTCTTACAATAACCATCTGACTTAACTAAACTATTAAGTTAGAAGTTACTGTAATAAAATTACTTCTTAAGTAATATTATGGTAATAATTTAAATACATTTTACTGTTTTCAGCTTAAATAATTTTCTGCTGTAAATAAATCTACACATCTCAAATAGGTGAATATTGGGGGGGGGGGCTTAAGCTTTAGCCATGGAGTTAATAATTTTTGCTGCTCCTCCAGCCCCCCCTCCCCCAACCATAAAAAACATCGAGTAATATTTAAATATTTATTATTTAAAATGAAATAATTCTGAATTTAAATATCTTTTTTTCTGGATTTCATTGTGGCAAATTGATGAATCAGTTCTTCCCACATCGTGTTCTTCACCAAATCAGATTCAATGCACAATATCGAAAAATTTGACATTTTTTCATGTATTAAAGATGATCGAAAATAATGTTTTACACGTTTTCGCACAATAAATAATCTTTCACCACTTGCATTTAAAGAAGGAAGAGTACCTACAAGTAATTTTTAAAATAATCTTTTTATTTAGAAACGATGTTTCTTAAGACGATGTAATTAATGTTTTATGTAATGCAGCAAATGATAATTTACATTCTGTAAGAAAATCTTTAACGATGCTTTTAAATTATATTAATTCTTCTTCAGAATCTGTTTCTAGATCTAAATGACTTAATAATATAGTTGAACAAGATTTTTACCTTGTGTTCGTATACTTTCCAATATCTAATTTTCTAAGTTTTATAAAAATCCACATCTATTATTGATTTCAATATAAAATTCCATTATTTTATTTAACTGAAAAACAATCGTTTCAATTATCACCAAAAAAGTTTCAATTTTAATTTTTTAATTTTTGGTGAAATTAATTTCACCTGGACTCAAATTATCGTTATGAAACGTTGATTTTTTTTTTTGGTTTTGGGCGTTTACCATGAAAATAATTAACTACCACATCGAAATTGGGGCTTATCTAAAAAAATGTTGAAATTAACTTTTCATATTTTCAATATAATCTTTCAACGAACCATACCTATGCAGAAATAACTATTGATAAATCAATATTTTCTGATTGTAATGGCTTTAAAGTATAGCATCAAAACGTTTTGAAATTGGACTCCGCATAGATAATAAAAATGAATATTCCAAACTATTAACTGAACTTTATTAAGGCCCCTCAGAAGGTTTTAGTAACTCTCCTTCACTTACAACATACACGATTATATGAAAAAATTGTAGAAAATAATCATAATGTTTAAGCAAATTCGTCAAATGTTTTTTCGAGAGAATTTATTTTTATAATCCATGAAACTATGATAGGAACATAGTTATCTAAGTTGTTATACAAACCAGGGTTCTAAGCACGATTAAAGAGTATCTATAATCGTGGTTTTAAGGGAGGTTCGAGTATTTAACGGTTTCCAATGGCATAACATTAACGTTATGCTTATTATTAGATATTATTACTAAGGTAGTAAGGTATAGGTACAACAACGGTAGGTACCTGTCTGTGCATGAGCATGACGTAATGTTTCAATGATATTATATAATAATATTATAAGACCTCAGACCTCAGTCGGACAAGGAGTCAAAATAAGTTGTATATTTGTAATTTTATTTATAATTTTTTTTTTGATTTAATTGTATTGAGTGAATTTTCAGTTATATTAAATTCAATAATCGCTAAAGTAGTAAAAATTGATATCTTTAATATCAACAACGCCTCAATTTTGTTCATAAAAAAAAGCTTATCTAAATGTATCGATTCTGTTGTGTGTATATATATTTGCACAAAGCAATAGGCTTATAACATTAAAAAAAGAAATAGTACCTCACTATCGATCATTTATGTACCTACTTATTACCTATACGGCTATACATAATTGGTACCTACCTCAGCTAGGTTAGGAGTAGTTTTTGTGTGTGTGCGAGTGTGGGGGGGGATGTTATAACTAATAATAAATTTAACTAAATTGTGGTGGTAATGTAATACCAAAAACACAAATAAGGGGATTTATCGGTCGGCGGGCTAAACTATTCACTTCTTCTTCTGGGTTAGGTTAGGTTAGGTTCGCCATTCGCTGTGTAGGATCAATCAAATTATATAATTATTTGATTATTAAATAAAGGCAAATATTTAACTACCCACAATGAACTCAGTCTTTCAATATTTTGATCATAAAACTTAATACCTAATAATGTTTTAATCTAAAAATTCCTGATTCTTCTTATTTTTGAAAACTAGAATTTTTTACTTTTGACCCCTAATCTTCCAACTAGATTCACTTTAATTTCTACCAAAATATTTACTATTTCTTTTATAATAATGAAAATCAAGGCATTTTTACCAACGCAAAAGGTGATGACAGATACAACTAATAAAAAAAAACATAATTGTAAAATCAATACATATTCATTGCTCAGTCTAAAATTACATTAAATTCTTTTCATAATTGTAATTTACTATTAATATAGTTATACAATATCCATTTTCGTGAGAGTTATTTGTGTTCAATCGTTAAAAAATATAAATTTTTTATTTAAAACTGAACGATAATGAACTTTATTATATTTAACAATATAACCTATCATTGAAAAAAAAAAATTAAAGTGGTCCACGATGTATCGAAAATTCTTTAAGTTATTCTACTTCTCTCAAGTAGGTATCAAAAAGGTTGGGAACCACAGCTATAGAATAAAATATAGAAGTCTGTTGACTGCACAGATAATATGCATTATCTATGGTTCTGTACTACTGTCTAGTGTCAAGACTCTGGGCCCAAGGGAGCATGGTATAAACAACATTGTATGTTTGTAACATTTGGACAATCAGATCCTTTGGTAAGCACATGGAATCTAGGAAAAAAAAGTCCCGTTTAGAAGTCTCAGACTAGAGGCTAGATTAATTATTATTAAATATAGTATATTTATTACTGTAGCGACTACTTAATAAGCCATTGTAAAAATAATAAATAATACAGTCAATACCTTATAATACTAAAACAATTTAATCACACCTTTAATCTTATATTATGATTTACCGAAGTCAAAAAATATAATACATTTTTTGTCTGCTTGTATTTTAAGCAAAGAAATCTATAAATCTAGTTTACTTTTTGGTATGGTACGAGTTTGTCTTATCAATTTCCTACTAACTGATTCTCCTACAGCATCCAAACCAATTTTGCTTCGTCAGAAGTAATTTCTATTTTCATTTTCCTAATTAATTTCTAAATAGATCAAGACTTTTTTGTAAGTGGACGTTTTTTCCATGATCATTTTCATATAGACTCAGGACAGGGACAAAATAAAATTTATAATTATGTCTTATTTAGTCTTGTATACTGTATTACTGTAAATATAGCTAATATAATACAAAATATCATGAATGTTTAATCTTATTAATAAATAAAAAACAACAAATTGAGTTTGTTACAGATAGAATGTAATTAAACAGAATAAATATAAAGAAATACAAAGAAAATATTAGTGTTTGCGATAATATCAATTCATCTAGTTCTTTTTTGTTTTGGAGTACATTATTTTACATCATAAACAAAATGTAAATGCTTAAAAAAAATTAATATTTACATGCCTAAATTATATAGCAACTAAATAATATAACAAAATCAAAAGTCACATTATTATGAAATAAAATAAGTTACAGTCCAGGTAAGGACGAGGAATCAGAATTAACAAAACTATCAAGATTGTCAAGTATGTCATAATTGATTTTTGATGATAGCTTTTTCTTTTTCAAAACTCGTTCTACAGCTTCAGCTGCTGTCTTTGCTGGAGTTCGTAATGAATTTTTAGCTTTATTTTCCTTGGCTCTGATAACCTTTGGGTTCTTAGCTCTTTCTTCCCTGCTCAATTGCATCTTTCTGAAAGCGGTACCATGCATTTTCATCCACATATTTCTCTTGAGTTGATGGCTTTCCTTGGATAGAATATAAGAATCTATTTCATCTTCATCTATTTCAACATCACACAATGAGTCCTCTTCGTCGTCATCCTCATAAGATCGTTTATTTTCAGATAAACCCATAATTTCTAACGAAGGCCCTACATTAACAGGTTTGCAACTGCCTCCTGGTTCAGGGGATGCTGTTGCTGCAATTTCAACCAAGTTGACACCTAAAACTGTAGTATTTTTTTTCTTGCTTAGTTCTTTTTCAATTGCAGTTTTTACTTCATCAATCACTTTTTCACTATCGTTTGCTTCAAAAAACTTGTCGATGCGCTCCTTGTCTCTAGCGCGAGCTACTCGATAGGATGGAGGATCATGAGTTTCTTCCAAGTCAACAGTCATAAACTCTTCTATTGACAACATACTAGATGGTGTGTCTTTGAACTCCAATAATCGTTTCTTTAAAGTGGCATGATGACAGTGAACAACTTTAATAATGTCATCAGTGGTACGGTTAAAATCATGCATACGCCCTGAAATTAATAAAGCTGCTCCACATAAACTGGATGGTCTTCTACCTAAAATATGAAACAACAGATTAGACATAGACAAGATATAATTTGATACTGAATTTAATTGAATTAGCAAAATAACTATAAATTAAAAGTACATATAAAATGTGCACGCGTTCTATAAGCAACAGCTTGGATTTGAATGGGGAGGGTTCTTAAATTCAATGTTGATAACAAAAATATATACAATGATATAAGGGACTATGGTAATTACAGCGAACCGTAGGTGCTGTATAATGAATCATATAATGAACAAAACCTAGAAGTCAATAGACCTTGTTAATAAATTTACCTGTATGAATTGAGTCCCTCATCATTCTTTGTAGTAGTCGCATTGCTGTCGTATACACAATATGGGTCTTATCACCAAAATCCAGAGAATTAACAAAACGCATAAGGAAAATACTAGGATCAAGACTTGGCACTGTCAGGGTCAATGTTTGCATCATTCTCAGGTAAGTCTTTCCAAGCTCAAATGCATTAACTTCACTAGCATCAGCTACATCCAGTAGCATGTGCATAGTGCCTTCCATACGGCACGCTATGTAAACAGATGCTGCATAGATTAAGGCATTCTTTCTGCCTCGAGTGAAATGCCTTTTCAATGCCATATTGTAATAGACACAAGCATTTTCCAAGGTTTGAGGACTAAGGTTGAGACTGTTGCTTAATACTTGTATACCACGCCTAGCTTTGGCTTGAGTCATTTCTCGAGATGGTTGCTTCATGCCATGGTGGAAAGCACTGCCAAAGTTATGGAAATTAGCAGCTTGAGAATCAGATGATAAAAATTGTCCAACAGCACGAGATCCATGATCAGTTTCTTCGAATTGGACTTCAGAGACGATATGTGATTCGTCCATGACTCCACCACAATCCATGCATACTGTTGGTCCATCACTGGAATCGAGGTTCAGAGAACCACAGTCGGAACACTTCATGACTGCTGTTTTCTATCTATCTAAATCTAATTATTCAAAAATAAAAAAAATAATAGTTGGTTAACAAAAAAATGAAATTCAAACAAAATGACAATGTATATTATTTATTTTCAACAAAATATAAACAGGTAATACTGTGTGTGGTTTTAAACTTCGAAGGTAACTGATATGGATATTGAAAGTTGCATTGTTGACGGCAAACAAAAATACAAACTAGCAAAATTGAAAATATGTGGTTCAATTTTCGGAGCAAAAACAAATGTGTAGAGTAGGTGACAAAAAAATGTCAAACCAATCTCATCGAGTACCAGAACTATACTTTGAGTTATAAAGATCATTAATGACAGTGATGAGGTCTGTACTTCTAAAAGTTGGTTTACTGATGTTAGTCATTGGTTAGTGGACACAGTAAATACAAGTGAGACTAGCTGGTGCGAGTAGAAATGTTCTCTAGAATCAAATCCATTTCAAACCAAGAGGTAGTAAATAAGAAATTATTAATTGTTATAATAAAGTGTCATGTATTATTGTATTCACATCCAAAACCACCTACATGTCACACTCGATTGCCAAGTATAACAAATTCACTCTCATGTGGTCGATGTACGCACTGTTTAAGTTTAACTTCACAATCCCACATACCAACCATCCAAGATAAATGTGGAGGTTGGAATTAAAATAAAAAATAGTAGCATTTACTTCAACCCACAGAACAGATATTCAATTATTGTTCCTCTGAGGCTGGACGGTTCTAGTGTTGAAAAAATTCTACGGACCACCTAGAGTCAAATCATGTGGAATTGGTTCGTGAGGAAAATGGGTTGACACTTGATAAATAAAATATCAAACTATACCATATCATAGTAACTAGTTTAATAGTTTTACCTTTCACGTTCGACCGTTCGAGCCTTCGTACTTAGTACACACTAGTATACCACAACCACACTAAACGAGTGCCACAGTGCCACGACCACCATATAATAGATTAACCAGACTACCGAGTGAAGTGCTGACAGCTGTCCGGCGTCTGCCCTCTGCTGACTACTGACATAGAACAATACTGATCAGAGTCGGAGCATGATATATTTTACAACAAATATAATAAATAATTATAATTTGGTAATATTACCACAGAAAGTGAAAATTATATTAAATACTATATTAGTGTATTATTACGTCCAGGGTGTTATCTATAGGACGTTTCGTGTTTACAGTTTATATAGATAATAAAAATATAGAGGAGAAAATATCAGTACTGGCATCAGTGCATCACGTCATACCAGTATACCAAGTTCTTACCTCTTGTAAGATAAGGTTAAACACTGACTCGGACTTCCCCTACACGTCTAGTATAGCGATATAATTAATTTGGCCAAGCACATTGCACGCTTGAACACGAGTCACGAGTCTCACGATCGACGTTCTGCTTTTTTGCGCGAAAATCGTTTAAAATGTTCACCACATTTTTAAAGAGCTCTCTGTAGTAATGAGCACAGGCCACAGACCACTGATGACCACGGTTGAAGACATTCGACATACCTATATCTTATGGGTCCGTGGTAATGGGTTATCAAATTCCCGCCAAATATTACAGAGATTTGAATTTGAATATAACACATTTGAATAATGTAGGTAATATTATTATACACTATTAATTACTATAGTATTATACATCAGCACATAACCATGTGTTTTAAACAATTATTAACAATGCTAAATCACATTTGTTGGTTTGACTGTAAGCCAGTAAATACTCCGAAATTGTATTTTAAAATATGGCTATCTTGGATTTTGTAAAAACAATTTAAATAAATAAATATAAATTACTTCTAAGACCGTGGTACCAGTGGTGTACCTAGACCTTTAGTAGTATAAGCCATAAGCATTGGTGCAACTAGAGAGGTAGATGCAAATTATTTTTAGTACTCCTTGTTATTTTAGGTCCATGTGCAACAATTATTATTATAGTGAAATACCATCAATTGAATGTTTTATTACTATAAATGGCCTACGATTGATAGAACATTACCACTAGGCATTAAGATTTAAGATACACATAACGGATCGCCTAGCCAATGGGTCTCGTCAAAAAGTTTAAAGCACTATATAGATGTTCGCTGTGGTGGACTGTATATTACTATTTACTGGTGAACCTTCGTGAGTTTTATATTAATTATCGTATTAGTAATAAAAAGAGTATTTTAGGTATATATTTTATTTTTATCATTAATATGAAGTGTGGTCGAATCATAAACATAATAGAATCAATTATGTCTATGGTTCAAATGTAAATACAAAGTTTTCAATACCGATTATTATAGAATATAGATGTATAACTTACTAGATTATTTAATTTTTGTGGTAGGTGGTGTGGGAGTAAAGCCCCTCATGAGTCTGTGAGGCATTTACAATTATAGCACCCCGCATTTAAGAGGTCTAGTTACGCCTATGGGTGTCTGCCATCTAGAGAGATAAGAATACTTTTATGTGTTTTATTTATACCACAGATATGTATACAAATCTGTGATTTATACTTGTAGCCTTATCTATCCCAATGGAGTCTGACTCTGGCAGTGAAATAGTGAATAGGATGGCTGATATGTAATCCAAAATCCCAACAAATTAAGAAAATGCAGATTGAGGTAATGCTGTTATTGCAGTTGTATTATAATATACTCTATAGGTACTAGTAGTTGTAGGTTGTAGAGTGTAGACTGATAACCTGATATTACACATACTATTTTATATTATTCTATCTTGTATTTTTCTAGAAACTAATAAACACGTTCTTCCCAACTCTTCTAAGACCGTGTTAATAAGTAGATATCGTACATTTGTACTTGTTTACTCTTCGGTATTTGTCAATGATTCTGTCATTCTGAATTTCTAAACTAGAATTTGAAAGTACTGACTTATAGATTACACCTAGCAAATATTGAGATTACAATATAGTTGCATTTTATATTTCAATAATTAAAAGTAATTACAATTTCAAACTTTTATATAAATTATGATTAATAATTGTTTTTTGTTTACTGAATGTGATAGTGCAGTAGTATGTGATAATTTATAATTTATTATATTATTATTTATTAATAGGTAAGTAGTTAGTATTACCTATACGGTGAAAATTGTACCAATTATTTTGTGTTGGAATTGAAGAGTTGAATGTGAAAAGAAAATGTGCGGCCGAACTGCTTGGTGAGTAGCTTATACTGTTATGTTTCTTTACGAATGCGGAATAATAATTCACAATGTAATTATATGAATATATTAACTTAACGTATTATGTAATTTAAAATTGATTTATTCTAAGTAAATTTGAATCAGTGTCTGAAATATAATATACGTATGATTGGTTTTTTTATAAATTTTAATTTCATTGTTTTAAACCCTGGGTGTTGTCTGAAGATTAACATAACAACAATTTAATGTTTTGACTAATGAGTTATAACTGACTGTAATAGCGTGTCCATAAAAAATTGTTTGCCTCACACTATATCTTAATTATCCATATTATGTTTTATTATTAGTAACTTGAAACATGAAACTTATTGCAAAGCGACGACCTACAAAAATCGTAAGGACACATTGTATTGTCAACCGGAATGGCATGATGAAATGAATGGTAACTTTGAATTTAAGCGGTCCAACAACATAGCACCTACTGATGTAACTCCAATTCTTGTTTCTGGTGAAGAATTTGTAGGCTACCCTTCTAGAATATTAACACCTATGGTATGGGGTATGATACCTCCCTGGCATAAGGTATTTTACTTAATACACCAACATACATCTGTGACTAAATAAAAAACATTAGCATTGAGTATATAATACAAAAAAATATACTCAATGATATTAGTTTTCATTAAAATAATGAAAATTGTTTTTGTTATTTTATTTTGAATATTAAATTAAGAAATGATTTTAGGGAAATTTTAACAATCATGGATTAAGTACAAACAATTGTAGAATAGAAAATGTAACCACTTCAAAACTGTACAGTGAACCGTTGACTAAAGGAAGAAGATGTATTGTAATTTGTGAAGGTTTCTACGAATGGAAAACTACAGAAGGACCTGGAAAGAAAAAGCCTCACTTTATACACATGCCTCAAAAAAATGGAGTTAGTATTGAATTAAAGTAATAATTTTTTTGTGTTTAGTCTACAGCCTGAACAAATAATGTACTCAAAAAGTTATGAGCATGAATTGTAATAATTTATGTATATATAATGTGAAAATTAAACAATAATAAGGTAAAATATAATTAGGTAACATACAAGTTTATTTGATTAGCCAAAGCTTAAAATTAAAATTAAAATATAAATCTATTCTCCCTCTCTCTTTACTCTTTGAATATTTACCTACTACACTACTACAGGAATAAACCATACTTTAACCAAAAAATTCATTGGATGGGGCTTGATGAACATTACCAAATTGTTTTTAAATTAAAATTTGATTGTTTTTTTTTCTTGATTTATTTTGTATGGCCATAATTAAGATACCGTGGTCCAGACATACAATACATACATACAAACACACTTGATTTGATATAAATAACATACAAATATTTAGACAACTAGAAATCTTAATTTTATAAGAAATATTTTCATTAAGGTTTCAGTTTATGATATAAATGCTTGGGAATCAGCTCTATGGACAGAGCAATCTGGGTGGAATGGACCATCTCTACTTCAATTAGCTGGTATTTACAATAAATGGAAGTCACCAAATGGAGAAGAAGTGTATAGCTATTCAATTATCACAATGGAATCAAGCAAGACATTTTCTCAACTTCATCATCGAATTCCTGCAGTCTTAGAGAATGAACAACTTATAGAGGTTAATATTGGTTTATGTAATTAAAGTAATACATTATTTAAACCTATTTTAACTACCTAGGATTGGTTAGATACCAGAAGGGTGTCTGCAAGTCGAGCCATCTCAATGCTTTGTCCTATTGATAATCTGAAGTGGTATGAAGTGTCAAGCGTAGTTAACAATTCGCGTAACAAGAGCGAAGATTGCAATAAGCCGATTACAAAAATGTATGTGAACCTTTATTAAGATAATTTGTTTGATTTTAGTCTAACTAATACTATCAATTTATATTATTAAAAAATTCAATGATGTTTATTAAAAGTACAAGAATAAAATATCAGTTCAAATGTACTTATAAAAATATACAATACTGGCTATGACATAGTGCTTCTGGTTATTTTGTTTAAAATATGGTCTAGTATAAACCATGATTAAACTGTGCCTCATAACCTATGGATCGCACATGTTTTTAGATGGGTCTCATTATTATATCATTTTAAGATTAAGAGACTCATATCAAACATTTTGAAAAACATTGCTTTAATCTTATATTACTAGATAAGAATATTGCACAAGACAACTAAATTGCTTAATATCTATACTATTTTAACCTAACTTTTTTATTAGTTTTTATTTAAGTAATTTCATATTTACTGTTTATTTACAGAGTGAACAAAAGCAGCACTTTTATGACATCTTGGTTATCAGGAAAAAATAAAAGAAGTGATAGTAATGATGAAGATCAAATGAAGAAAAAACAAAAAAATTAATATTCAGTATTGCAAAATTTCAATTGATGTACATAACATAATATATTTATAAGAATAATATTTTCAAAATAAAAGATTTAATATTTAATTCATTTTTTAAAGAATTGCAAATGAGCATAAGGCATATTGAATCAATTATTTAATAATTTTGATAATAATTAGGTGCATTTCTACTACCAAATTATAACTAATTGATCTAATGACCAAGTAATTATATATATATATGCTTGAAAAATAAATAGTTATATTTTAGTTTTCGCCATACAACCAAGAGTCACTGGCTCTTGACCATGATACCACTTCTTTCTCCGAAAACCACAGTGCAATTTCTTTGTTGGCTGATTCAACAGCGTCCGAACCATGAATTATGTTGCTAATAATAATATTAACAATTTTAAAATAATTATTAAAAATATTAAAAATTGTTAGATTTCAGAAATATTTACCGGCCGACTTGGATACATAGATCACCTCTAATTGTACCAGGATTTGAATTTTTTGGGTCAGTTGCGCCGAGAATGAAACGTCCAGTTTTCACAACATCTAATCCTTCCCATACCTATAATAACACAACGTAATTATTTTATAATTTACTCAAGTAAACAATATTGTGTCTAATAACCATTGGCACTACTGGTCCAGAAGCCATGTATTTGACAAGACCTGGGAAAAATGGCCTACTTGATAAATCAGCATAGTGTTTTGATAACAATTCTTCAGATGCCTGAAATAAATAATAAGATTAATAAGTAATTTGATTTAAAATTTAACTAAATAGTTAAATATTAATTTTAACCTCATATAATAATATGTTATTTGATACATATTTATTATTTTTTAAAAGAAAATATAAAAAATTAGTGCTCCTAAACAATAAAAATAGTTATATAGCTAAAAAGTTATTTTTAACTACCTCAACTTATTGTTAATTACATTTTTTATATTATTCATAAAAACTAAAAGTTTATTTAGTACTGCCAAGAAACTAAAAATGTATGTAACATTATTTAAAAAAAATATGAACGGAATTTTTTGGGATGTTCTACTTAAATACATTATATTAATAGACATGTAAAATAATTCAATGTTTTAAATTTTAAATTGTATTTGCCAGAGACGTACGCAATGGTAGGGTTCTAACTCTCTTCCCAACTTTTTTTCCTCTTATACAAAATTGTATTTTCCATCATAATAAGTACACTGCAGGGTAGATAAATTGTTTATCATTTTTAATATTAATATAAAATAAATATATTTTCAAATTGCAATAAAATCAAAAGTTTTAGTATAGTCGAGTATAACCTTAATAACTCAATTTTTTTATGATCCCTTGAAATGTTTTTAAGTTGTGTTTGAGGTATATAACTACATACATTAGTCAAATCTATACAATCTATTACTTAGACATCAACATTTATTAATTCATCTAAGCAAACGTTGAAAGTCACAAATACAATTGCATTTGATGTACATGTGTAAAAGTAGTATTTTTGCTGTTATTTAGTTTCATGTCTACTTTTAAGCATTTAATAGTAACTGAAAATAATAAATGCAAATATATTTAAGATTAAAAACTAGAAGTACTTGCCCACATGAATTTCATTGCGACCAATTTGAATCCTTTTTCTTCAAAGCGCTTAATTATCTTGCCAACCAGGCCGCGTTGAACACCATCTGGCTTGACCATGATGAACGTACGTTCTGAATAAGAGTCTCCGCTCATTTTTCTGTATACCTACTTAACACAAACACAACCTACATGAACAAATAAAAAAAAAATTGATCTTGTACTTTATCTAGGTTCTTTATTACACTTAAACCAAATTTAATAGGTAGCTATGAAATTAACACATAAAATTCATGAACTTGATACTATTGTATTTAGTAGCTCGTAGACTCGAAGGACAAACATGTGCGATTGGGTTGCACAGAAACCTTTGGTAGTAGACTGTATACCTATAAGGTATTGTCTATTATTATTATTATTATTATTAATATCATTATTATTATCATTACATGTGGGCGTTGGCTGTCCCAAGTCTTAAACACGATAAACAGCATAATGCTGCTGTTTAGATAATGTTTGGATTAGGGGAGCATATAATATATTAAATATTTCTATAAAAAAATGTAGGTGTATTATGTCGATAACCATTTTAACTTAGCTAAATAATTATAGATCTCAAAGTTGTTACGTACTACTAATTTGTTTGTTACTTAGGTAAAAAAGTATTTTTTTAAACTATTTATTAGTTTTTGAAGTTTAGATGAAAGGGTTAATAAACCACTAATTTCAAGGAGAAGTTAATAGATGAATTAGAGTGGTATTGTAGGTAATCGTAATTCCCATATTTTTGCCAAAAGTGAAAAAAATTATGTTTGAATTGAATTTCGAAATTTATTGTACTTTATATAACAAATAAAGAAATACAGATATCCTAATTCATGTTATGTACAATTTCTCAATTATATATTTTAAGTCACTTATCGTCTTTAATACTATAATTTGTAAACTGTAAGTGTATTATTGTTTATTTGTTGTAAACATTTGAATTTTGAATCAAGCACATATATTTAAAAATTCTTTTGATTTTATTTTGTAGGTAATTTTTGTCCATGGTAAATGTTAGAATATCCAAACATACAAATATTAACTGTTCAGTGTTTTTTCTGAAAAAATGACTTATAATATATACTTATTAAAGTAAACGCTTGAAATATTCATTAAATATTTAGTGGAATCAAAAAATCAAAATATTTTAGTAAAGTTTAGAACTGTTTGTCGGTTGTGGTGTGCTTCGGATATAATATCTTAAAAATGAAAAATCAATTTACATTCAGTTTGCTCTATTACAGGTACTTGAAAGATTATAGTTTAAAAAAAACGACGGTTATTTGACACATCAAATTTATCAGCACGAAAAAGCTCTCCAATAGTAAGTTCCACAATTTTAGTTCATGATACAATTCATTTATTCGTTCTATAGATGATTTAATAGTCTACACTTACACATAACCGTTTTCAACGACACAGACATATGATATTATTTGGGGGAACGGGTTGAAATACCTACTATAATATTATCGAGAGCTTGTACTCACCGAAAAAACGTAGATCGTCAATAAAACGTCAGGCGATCGACAAGCGTAGAGCGGTGACGAAACAGCAAGGCAGTCGGCGAATAATGACTGCGGGGCACTGACTACTGAGCCAGTGAGTTTACTAAATCGCCAAGTACAAACTACAAGCCAGTGACGCAATTGACGCGTGACGCCAAACGCCGGAACACTCCAACGGCAAATAAAGTAAACACTATTTTACTACAGTCAGAAATAGTCAGTCCGACTCCGACAGTCGGCAGTCTACGCAGTGGCACGGTCACGGTGGGAACGTAAAGCTGTGTATTGTTCAACTATGTTGTGCACTTGTGTGAGTGAATACCGAACAGTACCGATGGAGGGCGGCGCGGTGGCGGCGTGTCGCCCATGACAAAATGCATAATATTTTATCATGACGACGGCGCCAACAATAAGTCGTGCATCAAAAGGTATAAAAATAGAACTTTATGGCCTAAGATTATGATTATAGTGGGAGACACAGATAATAAGCTTTTAAAAAATATTATAGATAGCCGAAATCCTCTTATCTATAGTAGGCCAACGTTTACATTTTCATAACACTGATAAAGGTATTAATGTATCATATTAATTAATGTAGTTCACGATTTTAACACAGAAATTAACGTACCAAGTCTGAAATACATATTATTAACTTTAAACTTGTTCAACAGTTATGTAAATGATGTAATGAGTACTTTATCGAGTAGGTACCAATTTATCATGTGAATATTACATTTATAAAAGAAGCTATTTGCTAATACATAAAAAAAAAAACAATAAGCATAATTTAACATTCTTACATAGTGTATCTGTCCGATAATTGGTCATTATTAATGATTTTGTAGAAAATGATGTTCTACAAAAAGCAAGAAAAAAGACTTGTATAAAATATGTATAAGTACATAAATATTATGTACATAATAAATAATATGTTTTTAATGTATCATGCTTAATTAAACAGGTTAAATTTTTTAAATATATTTTTAAAATTTTAAAGAATTGTTTTTATTGATAGGGCCCCATAACCATATACTGGTTAAATAATTATGAATGTAACTTGCAGCTTTGTGTTGGAAAAATTAAGTGGGCCCTTAAAAATTCCTAAATATGCCACTAAATCTGTCCCACTTTTATGCAATATTATTAGTTATTGTATTTATTTAAAATAATAAAAATCAATACATTATAAGATCAACTTGTTTTTATTGACACTTTACAGACTTACAAAATGAATATTACAAGTATGTGTATTAGTATACAAGATATACAAACACACATAGGTTTATAAATCACACACAATATGCCTACCAAACAGACTTATTAAAAGATTAACATTCTAGTAAAAAAAAAGTAATACTAATAGCTACCGCACAGTAATTCATTTTTCTAATATTCAAAACACATTAAATAAATGGCACTTACTATTATTAGGTAAATTTATAAAAACTAATAAAAAAAATAGTATTTTTATTCTTACTACAAGCAGACATTAAGTTCAGACATGTTAAAATTCATACTCAGTATGTGTGTAGCCGATGGCAAGTATTGTTTTTGTATGTTTAATCTAACAAATACAACTATAAATTATGATGATACATGGAAAATTAAGAGATCTAAAAAAAAAATTATACAATCAAGGTTTAAATTAATATTATATAAGTACAACAGGTCAGTTTAAAAATCTCCATGTATCTACCTATTAGTAGGTTCCCTAAAGTTTGAATAGGTCACGCAACATAAGCTAATGGATAGCTGGTAATTATGTATGCCCATTCATTAACATAATATGTTCGGTAAAAGTCTATATTATAATAAAACAAAAATATTGCCATAGTTAATAGTAATTACAATGGAAAAATATATAGTTTATTGTTTTCTTAATCCTAAAATGTATGCAAATAATACAATAAACATAAGTATATGTTTCAAATAATTTCGGGAAAAACATATTTACATTAATAAAATAAATATCACAGCCTTTAAAAAAATATATTTAAATATATATTTGTTTGCCCACGGATATCTTAAAGGCAATCGGTTTTCATTTTGGAGTAAATATGATTTTGATTTATTTTTAAGTACATTAACTCTGAGGAAAACGGTTCCTTTGTTTGATCCGTTTTGCTACATTGTATTATGGGCAAACTACACAGTCACATTACACAATAAAATTGTTGTATAAGCTAACAATAACAAGAACCTTACAATTAGTATAAAATATTTCTTTACAGTTATCAAACGACAATGATAATAAAAATAATAATAATATAATGTACAGTCGGGATAGAGAATGGCACAGCGTTATACAAATATAAATATATAATACCTAGTTTTAAAAATATAAATATGAATAAAACAATATTATTATATACACATCATATAGTAATGTATTGAATAAACTTGAAAAAAACTTGTCGTTTCATGTGTCATTTCATAATAATTGTCTTAATAATTCTTAAAAACGAGTCAACAAAACAAAACTTAAACGTCTACAAAATGGTTCGAGGTTCCCCCAGATACGTGTGGGGCTCGATAGCCGTTCGTCAAACGGTTGTTTCGTTTCGTCTGAGCGGTTGAAGCTCTCTTTGCAGCCGATCAAAGTCGTTGTAGTACTCATGGTCCGACTCGTCCTCCAGACTGCGGCCGTTGGAGGTAGGCGCGGGTGACTGCGGTTCGCAGGACGCCTCTGCAACAGAACCGCTACCGTCACCGGAGACTGTCGATGGAGCCGCGGCGGAAGTTTCGCCACCGGTCAAATGGTACTCGGGGTTGTCCACGCTGCTCACCTGGACTGGCAAGAAGTCTGGTTGATAGTTTTTGGTTAGACCAGGAGGTCTCGGTAGACTACCGTTGGCGTATTCCGCTGCAACACAAACGTAATAATATTTATTATAAATAAAAAAAAATCTCCATTATTCAGGTAGCCGGGATTTATTAAAAGATCCAGTTTAGTGTTGGGAACAAAGTTTGTATTCGTAAGATTTCGGATAGCTGAATAATTCCTAGCTTAAGAGTGGCTTACTGATTTTCATTATATTTTGAACCATAGTTTGATTAATATTGTAGGTAACTATAATAATACACATCTAGTATCTACCATAATTTCTTTTTTCAACTAGATGTCATCTGATTTTGTCATTTTTAGCAAGTAGAAGATATTATTAAGAACTAAGATGACTTACCTTCAGCGTGTTGGTGACCAATCAAATCGATGTAGTTGGCAGGCGCATGGCGACGCTTGTTGTCGATTTCATCATTGGCCGGGGAAGGCATTAGGTAATCGTCCTCATCTAATGGCAAGTCTAATTTCAACGTGCCAACTTGCGCCTTGCTTCCATTACTGAGATCGTCGGAAGTGTCGCAATCTACCAAGAAAAAACACAATATAGGGTTAGTATAGTTTGTTTAATTTAAGTACCATTTGTATGTTATTGCTAATGAAACAAAGATCACCTATACTATCATTACTGAATTATTAAAACAGTTTTTACCTAATCGATGTATGTCACTGAATTTTCTGAGCTCGCGATCCCAGTTGTGTCTGCCATGCATAGATCCAAGCATGTCAGGACCCGCCGTGCTACTCGATCCCAGCCTCGACGGACCCGGCATGCTGTTACCCATCTTTGGGTTCATGCAGTACTCATCGGCTTCCATTATACTCATATCCGCACCTTCAGTCGCCAGGTTCGATAGTATCTCGTTTTCGTCCTACGCAATAAATAATAGTTAAGCAAACGGTAAAAAAACGAACCAACAGTCAAAATTTCGTTGACCACTTACCTGCGACGAGTACGACGGCAACCTCATGTAACGGTCACCTGGTATGACCAGGTATCTACCCGGATCGATTGCCATCTTGGCGAATTCGTCAGCCAGTTCCTCAAAACTAGGACGGCTATCTTTTTCGATCAGCCAACACTTGACCATCACCATGTACACATCGATGGTGCAAATAGGCGGTTGTGGTAATCGTTCGCCTTTCTCTAGCAGACCTAAAACTTCTTTCTTGTCCACGCTTTCATACGGTTGCTTGCCGTAAGTCAACAATTCCCACACGGTGATACCTATAAATAAAAAAAAATAATTAAAAAAATTGTTGATTCGCTGTGTGGGACCACCCTATGCGTAACAGCGAAAGTCAACTTACCAAATGCCCAAACATCACTTTTGTGGGTGAACACCCTATATTTAAGACATTCTGGGGCAAGCCATTTGACAGGCATCTTTCCACCGTCGGCAGTGTATTCAAGTTGGTCGATTTCCAAAAATTTAGCCAAACCAAAATCGGTGATCTTCACACAGTTGGTGTTCTGCACAAGCACGTTTCGGGCTGCCAGGTCCCTGTGAACCAATCGCTTTTCTTCCAAATACGCCATACCTGAATAAAACGTTTGAGATTAGGACACTCGTTGTTTGCACTGGCATTTATTTTTAAAATCTCTTACCTTTGGCTATTTGCGTGCACCATTTTAGGAACGTTTTCGAACCGATCTTGTCGTTGTTGTTTCGTACGTACTTCAACAGGCACCCGAGTGGCATGAGTTGGGTAACCAACATCATTTCAGACGTCATACATACGGCCAACAGTTTTACTAGATTGTCGTGTTCGACACTAGCCATTATATAAGCTTCATCTAAGAACTCTTTGCTAGTATTCTCGTAACCACACGTATCGTCTTTTTTGTGTAGCTTTTTGATTGCCACTGGTATTTTAATGTTCTCGCCTTCAACAACCCAAACGCCCTATAAACGCACGATTTTATTATAATTCATACATTTATTCAGTTCGATACACGTAATTATTTTTAAATTAATCAACATTAGACTAAGCATTTAATTATGTGTCATACCTTGTACACAACTCCAAAAGCTCCATTTCCGAGTTCAGCGCCGATTCTTAGGTCTACCTCTTTAACGATTCTTAGTTTGGCCGTATTGGGTTTAACGTTCGAAGGCCTTAGTGGTTCGTTATCCTCCATACCTGTTAGTACCATTGTCATTTTTACTGCTGTCTCTTTGGCTCGTGCACGTCTTCGCCAGTGCCATACAAGAATCATGAGTAAAACCATCACCAAAAACGTAAACACTACAACCGCGCTCAGTATCAACGGTATTTGCTCCGAATCACTACTAAAATCAAACAAAAATAACGTCATGGACGGTTAAATATCGAATGTTATAGGGAAG